CCAGGCTGGTACCTGTTGTCCATTTGTGGTCAAACGTACTGGTGGTCCAGTTAACCAGAAGTGAGCTCGCTGGCTAAGCCACAAGCTAGCCATCTACCTTTCAACCTAGTTTAAGATGTCAATCAGTCGCTTATCCAATGATGTTCGACAGGGACGTTCAGGCAGCGGTTCTTAGAGCTTCTAAGAATTCTTTCTCACCATCTAGTAATCCAGAGGCCCCCAATTTTTTGGGCACCAGGGACCAGTTCCGTGGAAAGGTTTTTCCACGGACTTGGAGGGTGCATGGTTTTGTGTGTTGACTGCATCCCACAGATGGGGCTTTGCTTGTTTGTGCGGACCAATTGCTGGCATGCTGCAGCCCAGTACCGGTCCACAGACCGGGGGTTGGAGACCCCTGTACTAATCTAATCCTGACCAGGAACAAGGGTTAATTCTAAGACCTTCTCCAGGCTCTATCCAATGCACAAGTCGAGCATTTGAACCCGTGTTTCTGCCTTGTGGATTCCTTATCCATGGATGTGCTTCCCTTAGGATTCGTAAGTGATGTGAAAAAATAACATTGGGAAGCAAGTGTCCAGGGTATTTGGAAAATACAAGCACTCCTCCATTTACGATCGCAGCGGAACCCAAAATTTCCCTTGCTAATGTGACACAAAAGTTACGTGAGTTTTGTTCCGTTGCGCAATCTTTCTTGTCAAGTCGTTAAGGGAATCGCTGCAGTTGTTAAATTAGTAACAAGAGTTCTTAATTTGGCTCCTCCTTTGATTTTGTTCGTTAGAAGGTCGCTAAAGGGGAATCACACGACCTCATAAACACGAGTCAGTTGTCAAGCGTCTGAATTTTGATCACGTGACCGTGGGTGTGTGTGCTGCAACGGTCATAAATCTGAAAAACGATCGTAAGTCTGAAAAACGGTTGTCAGTCACTTTTCTAGCGCCGTTGTAACTTTGGCACTAAAAGAATGGTTATTAAGTCCGGGATTCCATGTATTCGGAGCTTTCTCACAGGTGGAAAATAAATACAATAAAAGTCTGGCACAAATTTTACAACCTGATTTACTTGTGAAGGTTTTTGTCTAATCTTACCTTTAGCTAGCAATGTTTGCTGGGCATTATGAGTATTGTAAACCCCACCCCTCAGGATCCTTGGGATGGAGGGAGGCAGAATTAAGCCCCACACCTCTGTGGGGTTCACCTGTGACTCATTTAGGGTACCGGGTTAGAAACACCCGGTAGTATTTTCATTTGCTCGAAGGTGGTTTTATGGTTTACTTTGAATCCACTTTTAGCATCCTTGTCCACAGAGGTGGTCTTTTTGATGTGCTTAGCATTGGCTTAATATCTTTTGCCGACGTTCTTCAAAATGGGGAGAAAACAGGAAGAAATGGAAGAGATGCTTTCCTGCCCCCCATGGAGGCAGGACCACCTGTCTATTTAACCCTCCTTGAAGCTAATAGACTTTAACCAAAATATGTTATTTTGATGAAGCAATACGTATAAAATGATGCAACGCAGTCAAATTTATATGCAACTGTTCTGTTTGCAAAATTTATCCTCTTCCTGTCACCGAGAAGGGGGAAGCATCAAAAGAGATGAAAATATTGCCTGCAGATTCCTAAAAATGTTGTTCAGTCTTACCCACTCACCTTCCTAAGCATCTGAAAAATCAGCCTTACCTAAATCATCTTTTCAATCATAACGACTGGAAACTTACAATGTTGAATTGTGGATCAAGAAGACAACCAAGCAGGGGAATAGCGACAACTTTAGAAGACCACTCATTTAAGCAAGCAGCCTAATTTATTTTTGATGTTGTCTAGGAACTCAAGCTCTGGCAAAAAAAACACAAAAAACCCCCAATTTTTAAAGTTATGCCTGCAAATTTTGAAGGGCGTTCATTGTCCTTTTTTTCGCATCTTGTTAAGAAAATTAGGAGGAAAGAAAACACAATCGCAGATTCAGCCTTGGTACAAAAACACAGTCCTGCATTAGAAAGAATAATGAAAAATAGGACATTTCCCCAAAAATACACAGATCCGTTTATTAGTTGGCTGTTTCTGGTCATTTCTCTATTTGTTGGATACCTGCTATAAAAAAAACTGTGTTTCTGCAAGAAAACTTCCTGTGTTTTCCCCTTCTCTTCTTCCAACTAAACTGCATTTTTTTGCTTTTGGTGTGTTTGTGCATTACATTTTTCTCTTCTGTCCTTCTTAAGGACAATGGAATTATGAAAATAGTACAGATGTCTCAAACTGGCAGTTGAGTAAAAATTTGTCTTTTTTTTTTCCAGACAGAGTTGGGGGTCCAGAAGGTGCTAGCACCTTAACCCCCCCCCCCCCACAAAAGGAAGAATCAACCGAATTATTCCGAGAGAAGGGCTGAGGTTTTTAACTGGTTGAAAAGGGTGCCTCAACCTTCTATAAGAATCTAAGGCAGGGGTAGTCAACCTTGGCTCTTTTATGACTCGTGGACTTCAACTCCCAGAATTCCTGAGCCAGCTTAGCTGCCTCAGGAATTCTGGGAGTTGAAGTCCACGAGTCATAAAAGAGCCAAGGTTGACTACCCCTGATCTAAGGCATGTTTCAGACTTTATTAGGGTGCCTGCAAGAGGCTCGTGGTTATAGGACTGCTTGTTCCCCCGAGGTAGCTCACTCATCAAGAAGGGACGAGTTGAAAGAGTTTTAACTAGCTTCTTTAGCATTTTTTTTAAAAGGGGAAGTGTGGGTGAGGGCTATGGAATAAAACCAAATCATTTGAAAGAAAGCAGTTATATCTTCCATTTCAGCAGGCATAGCCTTGGTATATATCATGGGTAGGCAACCCTTGGCTCTTTTATGACTCGTGGACTTCAACTCCCAGAATTCCTCAGCCAGCATGGCTCAGCTTGGAAACCTCTCCCTTTCCCCTCAGCGTGGTTGGATCAGGAATTCTGGGAGTTGAAGTCCACGAGTCATAAAAGAGCCAAGGTTGCCTACCCCTGGTATATATGATCCTCATATAAATAGGATGAGCCTCAAAGAAGGGCAATGTCCAGTTCTGGACAGTGCCAACAAGATGCCAATGTGCCCATGGTTGAATAAGCACAAATTCACTCCTACCGGCCTTTCTTCTTTGGGATATGGTGGGGACGAGGCTGGCGGAAAGGGAGGGCTAACTCCAAATCTGGTTTCTGTCCAGCTGTGGCTGTTGACCTGTCCTTCTGGTGGATCAGGTTGGTATCTTCTGCAGTGATGGGATGAATGATCTGGCCGGGCTGAGTGATGACCCGGGGAGCTGTCAGCTGTTGAAAAGCCCGTTGCGTGTTCCAAGTGGAGCCCACCGGCACTTGGATACTGCGTTCAAATTGTTGACTGTTCTCAAAGGGGAAGGGGAGCTGGTTCACCTGTGGGAGGAAAGGGATCCATCATGGTAGGTGAGAAAGACCCTGGGAGGTGGGAGCACAGATGCTGTCCAGGGAGAGGCTAGACAGCATGGTCCCCACCTGGATAGCGGGTGGGGCAAGAGGCTGCAAAAGAGACGGTGTCATTTCAGACTTGCAAGATTATCTTAATGTAGCTTTGCAATAAAAAATAGAATTAATTTATCTGGTTATGTTTCCTAGCTGGTCTATCTGGGAATCAGTGTCAGCCCCGAAAGGAAAGATTGAAAAGCAGAGCATCATATTGTCTGAATCTGCGCTAGCAATCTGCACTAGACTTGTATACTAGCCCCGTCAGGATTGAACTCCAGACTGTGGGCAGAGTTAGCCTGCAATACTACACTTTAACCACTAAGCCACCAGGGCTCATTCAAGCCAGCGCAACATCAGAAAAGGCAGAAGAGGCATATCTGCCTTCTGAGTTAGTGATTATTGTTAAACTTAGTGTCTTCATTTATTTTCCCAAGTTCATCACAATTTGTAAAACATGGATACTCAGCAACATACGTCACGAATCTAAGTTTTTAGATATAAAATTATGGACTGATTTATACAGGCTACTAAGATTTAGAAATTGTTTCAGGTAGTTGCACATCCAAAATCTTAAAAAATAAAATAAAAAAAATGACCAGAGTCTTGCAATATTTCAAAACACTCACTCATGCAATCTTCAGTATGATTTTAGTATGATTTCTGGAAATTATATAAGATTCTCAGAAATAACAAAAAGCTTTTAAATGTATAATATTGCATTCCTATGGATTTTATGTTAGCATATCATAGGTGCCGTTCCTGTTCCTTGTATACCACTGGCTGGCTATGCACAACTCACTTAAACCAGGTTAAAAATGGAGTAATGGCACTCTTATTCTAAATGTGGTTATATTTTGGGTAGCTTTTCATGTTGGTTCAACTCGGGCCATTCCATTCTTTCACAATTCATCGTATTGGCTGAACGTAGAAAACGGGTTAGCTCAAAGACCAAATTAAGTGCTTTGTGTAAAACCAGCAAATGTGTGGTTTGGTTTGATTTGATTTGGAGCTAGCACGGTTTGCGAATCTGTCTGCTTAGCTCTGCGTTGTTGACCTGCCAATTCCGGCTTGTTTTTAAATGGGAGCCTCTGTCGAGAGAGGGATGGCTGCATCAATCAAATCAATAAATCCAATTCAATGCACAAAATTTACCGGGAAGAACCATCCTGAAAAGGAACGTTGATCTCACCTGATGAGCTGCGGCTAAAATATTCCGCTGTTCATTCAGCAGAACGTGGGGCAGGTGCCGGTCTTTCCTTGGAGGTCCAGGTGCTGGCTTGATAAGGAACCTAATAAAATAACAAGAGTTGGAAGGGATTTCGGAGGTCTTCTAGTCTGCTAACCCTCTACTCAAGCAGGAGATCCTATACCAGTGGTGGCGAACCTATGGCACGGGTGCCAGAGGCGGCACTCGGAGCCCTCTCTGTGGGCACGCACGCCATCGCCCCAGTCCTAGGCCTTCACCTGGGTTTTATAAAACCTTTTCACTTTAGGCCTCCGCTGCCGTGTATATATATATAAAAAAAGGTTCAATCAATCAGTCAATTTCAACTTCTCGTGGGGGAAAAAAATCTTGCAAAGTTGGAATTGATTGATTGAATTTTTTAGTCCCACCCAGTCTGCCGTTACCACCGCAGCCACGCCCGCCCAATGGGCCACACCCACCCAATGAGCCACACCCACCCAATGGGCCACGCCCACCCAATGGGCCACACCCAGCCGGCACTCAACGATGCATAAGTGGGTTTTGGGTTGCAGTTTCGGCACTCAGCCTCTAAAAGGTTCGCCATCACTGTCCTAAACCAAATGGCTGTCTAGTCTCTTAAAAACCTCCTTTGGTGGAGCACCCACAGCTTCTGGAGGCAAGCCGTTCCACTGGTTAATTGTTAAGAGAAGCAAGAGATTGAGCAGAGAGAACAGGGCAGGGGCCTTGACAGCCGTCCAACCTCATCTCCCAAAGTACCTTTTCTTTTTCTTTTTGCTTGGATGCAGCCCCACGCCTCCCCATTCGCCCCATCCGGGAAGCACCAGGTCAATGGCTTTGGGTTTGCTGCCTTCTTCAGCTGCTCGCTTCTCTTTCAGGAAGTCATCGAGGACGTTGTCGCTGGCAAAAGCCTCTTGGATCATCTGCCGCTGGCTCACGGCGGACTCCAGCTGCCCAAGGAAATAAAAACAGGCTCTGGTGAGGAAGGACCTGATGGGTTTTCAGTCAACAGGCAAGGTGGCAGATGAAGAGGACAACCGTGGCGCTCCGAGCTATTTTAAATGTGAATTCTTAAAAAAAAGGTCAAGGACTGCGTTACGGGAAGCTCAGAACTCGCTTAAAAGATCTTGCTGGACCCTAAAAGGAGATAAAACTGTATGGAATGCAGAAACCTAACAGTGGCTTTGGAGCTTGTCTCTCCCGATGCCTCTGCCCCACATGAGCTAAAAAATAAATGTTAAAAAGCATGCGCTCATTCATCCTGGGGGGCAATTGTTTACCTGGTTTTATTCTGAGGACCAGCCCAGATTCTTACACTTGTTGAGACACTAGAAAGAGTACAGAGAAGAGGACTGGAGGCTAAAACATATGAAGAATGGTTGCTGGAATTGGGTATGTCTAGTTTAACGAAGAGAAGGACGAGGGGGGACATGATAACAATGTTCCAATATCTCAGGGGCTGCCCCAAAGAAGAGGGAGTCAAGCTATTCTCCAAGGCGCCTGAAGGCAGGACAAGAAGCAACGGATGGAAACTAACCAAGGAGAGAAGCAACCTAGAACTAAGGAGAAACTTCCTGACAGTTAGAACAAATAACCAGTGGAACAACCTGCCTCCAGAAGCGGTGAATGCGCCAGCACAGACGAGGTTACCTAGTTTGGGTAATGAAACGTTTACAAGAAAGCCACCAAGCTCAGAGAGCACCAAGGACCCCTCATTTCAACCTTGAGCTACAAATATTCTTCTTGATTGGAAAATAATCTACCCAAAGGGTGCTGCTTCTTCCTGCCCTCTACCCGAATACCTTGCCCTCCTTCCCCGATGGCGCTCACCTCATCCTGCACAGCAGCGGGCACAAGCGGGCATTGTGTGACACGTGGTGTTCCCTCAAGGACCGCCTTGAGATCTATCAGGCTCTGCTGCTTGGCCGACTTCTTGGACTTGCTGATCTGGGGATGTAGCAGGGACTCGGCTCCCACTGACTGGGAGGACTGGGTCTCTTTGGGTTGCAGCATCTCGCCTTCTTGTGGAGCGTCTTCCGGCTCCAGGCCCTCCAGGTCCTCCAGGGTGCGGACCCGTTTCAGCTTCTCACTCAGGAAAGGCTGCTCCCCTGAGGGGGGGCTCGGCGGAGCATCTGGTGGGACCTCCTCTTTGCCAGGTTCTGCGCCAGAATCAAGATAGCGTGCGTGATAGGAGAAGAGCCAGGGTGGACTAAAGCAAAGCTCCATTTCAGATAGGTTCAACACATGCTAGGATAAAATGAGAATTGCCCGTGTTTGCATGATAGACACCCCCCTCATCAGCCAAAATCATCGTGATTGTCAGGTATGGTTCCTAGTGGCATGTAGGAATGACCTTGGGAGACAGAAGGGAAGACTACACGATAGTCAGATAAGAGGCAGCTGAGCCCACAGAAGGAATGGGGGCGTGGTAAGCATCTCAGAAGGGACCCCACCCCTTTAGTTTCTCAGGCTGCAAAGGTGAGGGGAGAAGTATACTTCCAGACCTGCAAGATTCCGTTAAGGCAGTGGTTCTCAACCTTTTTAATGCCGCGACCCCAACCTGTTGTAAGCCGAGGACTAAACCGGTCGTAAGTCGAGGACTAAACCGGTCGTAAGTCGAGGACTACCCAACCGGTCGTAAGTCGAGGACTTTCCCTGCCCGGGAGCGCCGTGCATGCGTGGTTCCTCCCCCTGCGCCGGCCGAGGCGTAGCTGGCAAGCGGCAGAGACAGAGCAGGCCGACCACCAGCTGGCCCAGCCCAAGGGAGGTAAGGCACCCGCCGGAAAAGTGGAAAAAATGGCGGACAAAAAAAATGGCGGACAGCCTTGCTTGGCGATCCCCGTGAAATGGTCGATCGACCCCAAATGGGGTCCCGACCCACAGGTTGAGAACCACTGCGTTAAGGTAACCTTACGCAATAGAGCAGACATACTTCATCTGGGTGTGCTTCTTGTCTGGGCTACCTCACAAGGCTGACACAAATACACATTACCTGGATGTGCAAACACTCAAACACCCAGACTAGCCAACTACATTTGAGCCTATGGTGCCCTGCAAAGTCAGTCAAAATAGCCATAGCAATAGCACTTAGATTTATATACAGCTTCCTAGTGCTTTGCAGCCCTAAGCGGTTTACAGAGCCAGCATATATCTGATTAATGGTTCTATGTAGCAACCCAATTGGCTCACGTTGTGCAGGTAAACTGGGATGGGGGGAGGTTATACAATATGCAAACCAAGCCAAAGAGTGCACAAGTATCAGTGAAGGGGAATCTGCAGGTTCCTAGTTGTCATCCTCACCCATGATAACAACTTTAGTTCACCAATATCTGCAGGCCAATAGATTCTCCAGCCCAGTTACAAGTTGATGGTGCCTGGCTGGCTGAGGAATTCTGGGAGTTGAGGTCAAGTTTTAAAGTTGCCAACTTTGGAGACTCCTGAAATAAAGGAACCCCCCCAGTTATGATTAAAGCTTCTCTGGATACTTTGGCAGCTCACCTTGAAGCCCAGCACTGCCTAGCTGACATTTTAGGCTCTGCCATGGTCCATCAGAACCTTGAGACAGATCCTTCTCGCTGGCCATGAGTGGTTCTTCTCCTTCTCCCTCACTCTCTCCGCTGTCTTCTACTGGAAGATTTGGCTTTTCCTTGGATTCTGCAGGACCTTTTCCTAACATCCAGGGGTTGCTGAAATCCATTCCGATATGCCTCTCATTGACAACCTCTGGAACAAGCTCCTTCTGTGCTTCAGGGCTGTCACCTATGTCTTCCTCTTCGCTTTCTGAGGCAGGACAGACCTTCTTGGTTAGTTCTTTGTTCTGAGCCAGCTGTTCTTGCATTGCTTGCCTAGCCTGGGAAACCAAGGTATAAATCACCATGTAGCAGCCAAAAATATAAGTCGATGAACGCAAGACAGGTCTCACTTTGACTTATTTTTATCTAAATCTTTAGAGATCACCAATCAAAGCCAGGAACAAAAAGCAGAACACAAGTTCTGCAGGAGGCCAATAAGGTATCCTAGCTGACATGCTGGGCCAACTTGTAATTTATAAAGCACGTTTTCAGTCCCGGTATCTACTAGGGATGAGATGTTAAAACAATAAAACTTAGAGAGAAGCTACTTTTGGCATCTGGTATTTCTAAAACTTTCAAAGTCAGAAATTCCTGCAAAAAGTAGACATTAATGAATGAACCAGTATGCATAATTACTCTTTCTTAAGACAATTTCTCCTTTAGAATGGGTTTTCACCTCTTTTTTGAGATGAATGTAGAAATACCGGGACTAACTCCATTTCATAGCAATAGCATTTAGACTTATATACCGCTTCACAGTGCTTTATAGCCCTCTTTAAGTGGTTTACAGAGTCAGCATCTTGCTCCCCCAACAATCTCGGTCCTCATTTTTCCAGCCTCGGAAGGATAGAAGGCTGAGTCAACCTTGAGCCAGTGAGAATCAAACTACTGACAGTTGGCAGAGTTAGCTTGCAATACTGCAGTCAAACTACTGCGCCACCACAGCTTAACAACTTAAGATGTTAAGGAGGACCCTTCTCCAATGCTCTCTCACCTGGAGGTCATACTTGGCCATAATGACAGTTGACTTGGCCCACCTGCCCTTATTCTGGTGTTTGAGGCTCATCCTCTCCTGTAGGAAGAAAGACAGAACTGTCAATACAACGGAGCGCTGGTGTCCCCCAAAGCAAGAATGCCGGTATGTTTATCTCAAAGCATAGAGGCCTCCATTTTGGCTTCATTTGGAAGAAGACCAGCCTCACCTCAATCCGTGCTTTCTCAATCGTCTCCAGCTGCTCCAGGGCAGCCTCGGGATTGCACTTCCGCAGCGTCTCAAACTCCTGCAGCACCTTCCGACTCTTCCCCTTCCTAAGCATTTTGTGAAACCTTGGGGCGAGAAGGAGAGAAAGGCCATGGATGTAATCACCCAGCTTCTGAAAAAAAAGAGTTGCAGCCACTTCTGGATTCAAGGAAGGCAAGGCAAGCCAAGAGAACAAAGCACTGGAGAAGAGCCAGGAACCGCTCATCCTCCAGATGTTTTCATAGTACATCTCCCATCATACAGGTAAGTCTTCAACTTACAACAGTAACGGAGCCTACAAAACCATCGTGTGGCTGTGGGATGCTGAAACAATCATAAATGCAGGCCGGATGTCCAAGCACCAGAAATGTGATCACGGGCCCTGGCCACTGGAACCAGGCCTTAAGTTCCTTTGGGAGGAAATGCACCATAACTGAATAGTTGCTAAATGGTTGGTCCTAGGTCAAGGATCTCTTCCACTGCTGAGGAATCTCTGGATTTCTACCCTATTTAGGCCCTAGATCAGGGGTAGGCAACCTTGGCTCTTTTATGACTCGTGGACTTCAACTCCCAGAATTCCTGAGCCAGCCACGCTGAGGGGAAAGGGAGAGATTTCCAAGCTGAGCCATGCTGGCTCAGGAATTCTGGGAGTTGAAGTCCACGAGTCCTAAAAGAGCCAAGGTTGCCTCCCCCCGCCCTAGATCTTTGCACTCAACTCGTGCTCAGTTAAATGAGTGAGTCACGTGTTCCAATCCTTCCCAAACCTTTGGGAAAAGGGGAGGGAGAACACAATTGCCCACGATTTACCCCATTCGAGGGATGCAGTGGTTCAGGGATTAAAGATACTGAGCTTGTCAGCTGGCAAGCTGACAGCCCAGGTTTGAGTCCCTGAGCGCTACGCGATGGGGCGAGCTCCCGTTCCTTGCCTCAGCTACTTCCCACTTAGCAGCTTGAAAGCCTGCCAATGCGAGTAGACAAATAGGTATCACTTTGGTGACAAGATAAGAGTGTTCCATCTGCTCGGCGTGTAGTCATGCTGGCCACGTGGAAGTATCTTCCGGACAACGCTGGCTCCTTCGGCTAAGAAATGGAGATGAGCACCGCCCCTCCAGGGTCAGAAATAACTGGGCAGGGGAAACCTTCATCTTTACCCACCCCATTCAAGGGACGCACCTATTTCTTACATTATAACACATTCCCACCCATGGCATTCCAACACTGCTTACTTTTTACTCTTAATTTTCCGTTCCCGTCGGGCTTTTGCTTCATAATAAGACTGTATGGCCCGGGCTCTCTGGAGCTCCATTCTACGCAGCTTAGCCTGGAATACATGGAAGAAGCAAAGAACAGCTGGCTGGAGGTTTTGTTAGGTCACAGTAGAACCAAGCATGACAGGGCAGGCAAGGTAAAGAATGGAATGGGCTCGGCGAGGTCAAGATTTTACCTCTTCCAGGCTCATGGCCTTCAAGGAGACTTTTTCCTGTGGGGTCAAAAGTGGATCCTTCACTGGCTGCTGAGCTTTGTGGAGAAGGCTGAAGATCTCTTGCTCCAAGGGGGTCCGTGCCTGCAAAGTGGGCGTGTAGGACATAAACCACGTTAAGTTCAGGGCTAGGTTTGAGGGAGGTTGATGAAACCAGCAAGGTGGCTGCTACTGTTGAAGGCAGAATGGTGGGGACCATCTTGGTGGTTTAAAATTAGCTTAAAGTAGGATCAGGATGCACTGGGAGATGACTTGAGTGATGAAGACGTACATCTGTTCCCTTAAATCACGGGTGTCAAACTCGCCACGTCATGTCACGTGACGTGTCGCAACTCTTTTTGCATTAATGGCATTGGGGTGGGTGCGGCTTTGGTATGATGAAACTGGCCCGCGGGCCGGCAGTTTGACACCCCCGCCTTAAATTGAAATTAATAAAGTTGGGAGATAATCAAAATATTACAAATATAGGCCTTGACTTGTGACTGTTCAAAGTTGGACATGTACCTTGGGGCTACTTATGAACCGGATTTGAAGTGTCAATGGTTTCTCTCTCTCTCTCTCTCTCTCTCTCTCTCTGATACACACACACATACAAACACACACACACACTCATGCAACCGAACTTCGGGCACTTTGGCAACATGGCCACATCTATGGATTAGTAGGATGGGAAAATCCAGCCAAGTGATAAAACATTCTGTGATTAAAAACCAGGCGATTGGGAATTCTAGTCTTGGCTTAGACATGGAAGCCACATGGGTGACTGTGAGCCGGTCATTCTCTCTCTGGAAGAAGGCAAGAACAAGCCATTTCCAAAACGTTGCCCCCCAAATGCAGGGACTTTTCCAGGTACTTGCCTGGAGTCCACTTGACTTGAAGAAAGAAAAAGAAAGAATGAAGAAGAAAGAAGAAGAAGAAGCACAATCACAACTCAGCATCCTGTGTGAATAGAGCCACCAGCCTCTCTAATTGGCTGGATCATGGGCTAGGAAAAGCATGGTAAATGGTCCATACAGCACAGCCTATATATTTCAGAGAGTAGCACACTGCTGCAGCTAGACCAGGCCAACTTTAACTACCATAGAGTCCAGATAACACTGACCTGCCAACCTGACATCACTTCCTCGATGGGCATAATGTTCACACTCTCCTGCTGCAGCGGGAAGACCAGTTGCTCGGCCCGTCGATTCTGCTTCACGACGGGTTCCCATTTGTTCAGCGCTTCGGCTGTCTGAGCGAAAGCTGCTTCCCTCACCACCTGCAGAGAAACCGGATCACCGTGAGCCCCAATTTTCAAAACATCCCGTTGCAGGGGTAGGCAACCTTGGCTCTTTTATGACTCGTGGACTTCAACTCCCAGAATTCCACGAGTCATAAAAGAACCAAGGTTGCCTGCCCCTGCGTTAAGGAGACAGTTATCAATTACAGAAACTCATTTCCGATAGCACTTTACAGACCAAAGGCCCTTGATTGCCTTTTTTAAAAAACATCTGCATTTTAATTATTTTATTCTTGTTTTTGTTTGCATTGTATTGTTTACACTAGTTTTTATTCGTAGTTTTTAATGTTTTTTTAATCCACCTGTACACTGCCCCAGGATTGCTCTGTCAGGGAGATGGGCGGTCTTCAAATACGAGATAAATAAATGATGCAATGGGAAGGACAGTCACAATTCAGTGCAGATGCTAGTCTAGAAAAGCCTTTGAGAGAGCAGCAACAGAGGATCTAATCTGTTTAAACGTGGTGGCAATTTCTACCGTACAGAAAAAAATATCTCTTTAGAAGTTCCCTGTACGAATACATGGCTGAAACTCTCAAGCAGAATGCAAATGCAAATTCCTACCAAGGATACATACTCCAACTAATAATACTCTCCAGTCATTGTGTCTTTGACAACCTCGCCTTCCATTTTATATCTCAATAGGTATTTGTATAAATTGCTAATTAATTTTATTTCTGTTCCATGTATAATTTTATCCAATTCTTGCAGCTCTTTTTGTATTTCATATAATTTTTTGTCCTCTGTATATTTAGATTGAATTTAGATTGAATTTGTGTAAATGTCCACCAGTCAATCTCTCTGCCTATATCTTGTTCCAATTCTTGTTTTGTTTTCAGATTTCCCTGTTCATTTACTAATTCCTTGTATCTAATTATCTTATTTATATCCAGTAGGTTTGGGTGTTTCAGAGCTTCTGTTGGGGATACCCACATTGGAATTCTTATATAATGTTTTTGTTTTATTTTTCCCCAAGTCTGTAGCAATGCATTCCTAACTATGTGTCTTTGAAAGTATCTGTGTATTTTATATTTTATAAAAATATCTCTTTAGAAGTTCCCTGTACGAATATATGGCTGAAACTCTCAAGCAAAATGCAAATCCCTACCAAGGAGACATACTCCAACTAATAATATTCTCCAATCCTTCCTTCTGAACTTACCCGCTCAGTCTCCTCCTTGCTAAGTGGAATTTCAGTTGGTTTTTTCTGCTGGGCTTTTTTCAGCTGTTTCTGAATGGGGCGCAGAGCCGACACAGCAGAAACCGGTTGCAGCAGATCCGAGAGCTGGACTTTCTCACTGGCACCTGCAGAAGAAAATGACATTTCTGAGTCTGGAATAGAGGGAATATTGAAGTTCACGTTTTTCTTCTACGCACAATTGGCCCAGGTAGTTTGCATTGGAAGCACAGCAAATAGTTTTAACTGAGCACAGAGGAGTTACCTTAACTGCTTATGGCCACAGTTGAGCTCAAAATTTCTCTTGCTAAGCAAAACAATTGTTAAGTGAGTTTTGCCCCACTTTAGGACTTTTCTTGCCCCAATTGTTAAGTGAGTCACTGCAGTTGTTCAGTTGGTTGTTAAGTGAATCTGCCTTCCCCACTGACTTTGCTTGTCAGAAGATCACATAAGGTGATCGGATGACCCTGGGGCAGGGGTAGGCAACCTTGGCTCTTTTATGACTCATGGACTTCAACTCCCAGAATTCCTGAGTCAGCATAGTTGAAGTCCACGAGTCATAAAAGAGCCAAAGTTGCCTACCCCTACCCTGGAGCATTGCAACCGTCATATAGGCATGCCAGTTGCCAAATGCCAGAATTTTAATCACGTGACCGTGGGGATGCTGCAACCATCCTAAACGTGAAAAATGGCCATGCCGCTTTTTCCAGTGTTGTTGTAACTTTAAATGGTCACTAAATGAATTAAGTCAAGCACTACCTACTGTACTATAGATAAAGATGCTGCAGGGCATTTTACAGAAGCAAGACAGGAAGAGTAGTGATCCCTTTGAATTTTGGTGTCGGAGAATACAGTGGGTAGCCCAAGAACAAACCAAAGGATCACCAAAGAGGTCAATCCAGAGTTCTCCCTCAAGGCACAAATGACCAGGCTCAAATTATCCTACTTGGGACACATCATAGGAAGACTCAGCTCTCTGGAAAAGCTTTTAATGCTGGGAAAGGTGGAAGGAAAGAGGATGACTGGCAGCAAGGTGGAGGGACTCGGTTACAGTGGCAATGGGGACGCTGCTGGGAGATTTAAAAAAACACCACCCAGTTAGGAATAGACTGTTGCAGAGAAAATCTTACCACGTGGTCCCTAGGAGTCAAAAACGACTTGATGGCACATAATCAAAAGGTCTTGTATGGACTTAACAGCGAGAAGCCACCCCCCAAAATCTCACCTCCGCCGCCCACATCAAATTCTGAAATCTGCGCACTGGCCTCAGTACGTTCAGCCTTTCGCCGTCTGCAGGAATGACAGTATCCAATTTGTTAGTGCAAAAGGATTACAGGATAACCTTTGAGGGTGGGTTGTTCTCATTCTCACCCCCCCCACCAAGGACTTTCTCTCTTACCGCTTCCCACCAACCAAGGCGGTGAGGGCATCTACCAGTTGCTGGTGCTTCTTGGCTGCTACTTCCTGGTCCACCTGGGGAACAAAGACTCCCAATGAGCAAGAACTCATAAATCCAGATGAAGGTAACAAGCTGTGGAAAATTATCCCTGCATCAACAGGCTTTTGTTGTGCGTTGTTGTTCAGTCGCTAAGTTGTGTCCCATGGACCATAGCACACCAGCATTCCCCCCCCACCTTCTTCTGGAGTTAACATTAACAGGCTACCTCAAGGGGAAAAAAAACACCTGCTAGGAAAGCAAACGGATTCATAAATTGTTCCAAATCCAGCGTTTACTGTCGATCCAAAACAAGAATGGAAAAGAGGAAAGAGAAGGAGAAGTCAAATTATGCCAGAATAGAATAACTTTATTGTCACTTCAAATGTACACTAATTGGCATACGTTAAAACAAAATTTCTTTGCATACAGCTCTCAAAGGGTCACCACCTCCAATATACACTACATTCCATGCAGCATTAACCTTGTGAACTCTCAAGCTTCCTCCTTCTGTTATATATTCAAGATGGACAGTATTTAATATTTATTTGCTACGTATATGTAGGGGTGTGGGTCTATACATATGTTGTTCATAGTATGTTTAGGTGTGTGTCACGGCCTGGCGTAGTTTGATTATGTTTTAGTGGGGGTTTTGTATGGGGTATTTTTAGAGCAGGCCTGTTATTTAATTTGATTTTAGAACAGAAATTTGTGTATATTTATCGTGGTTTTTATTATCGCCTGTTCACCGCCCTGAGTCCCGTAAGGGAGATAGGGCGGTATATAAATTCAATTAATAATAATAATAATAATAATAATAATAATAATAATAATAATAATAATAATAATAATAATAATAATGTGTTTCACTTTGAGAGCGGGCAACTAAATTTCATTTTTGATGTGTGCCAAGTTGTGCCCACAGTAAAAAAATGACAATAAAGGTTATCTTATCTATAAATATGACAAAAAATTTTTGCATATACCCACATATATTCTATGACACAGAGAAACAACACAGAAGAGGGTCTCGGAGTATTTAAAACCGTTATAGGGAAGCGCCATTCTAACTTTTATGTAATAGGACATTCCCCCCCCCCTCTCCAAACACGCTACAGTTGCAGAGCCTTTCCCAATTAAACTCAAAGCGCATTAATTGCATCCAAGGTGCTTAGAGTTGCAAAACTTCCCAATTAAACTCAATTAAATGCACGAAAAGGGAAGCCATCTGCCGCCGGTCGTGGGAATGCATCCTTGCTGCTCCCGTGCAGAGGAGGATTACGTGAAATCAAAGTTCCAGAGTTAGGAAGAGGGTCGGGAACGATGGCTGAAGCCGGAAGGGACCAAGGGATCTATCTGTCAACGCTGCAAATACTGTATATTCTTGCTTTTCTTGGAGAAGCTCACCTCTTCCACCTCGTCCTCCTCACTCGGGATCAGCTCCCGCTCGGAGGGATCTTCCTCTCCGACAGCCGCCATGGAGCCGAAGCCACCGAAAGTCTCTCTCGCTCGCTCCACTTCCAGCCAAACACGGGAACCGCCGCCTTTCTTCCTCCTCCTCCTCCGAACAGGCTACCGAACACGTGCGAGAGCCCTCTCAGCCGTAAAGCGCGCCCGCAGTTCCGCCTTTGAAGCCAGACTTTTGCAGCAGTTCCGCCCTTTTCCCCTTCTTCATTCCTGGGCTGGAATTATACGGTTCAGGGGCTGTTCTCGTCCGTGTGCGGGGATGCCACCTATGCTAATTATTTAAAATTTATGCAAATCGGCCATTACCCAAACCTCACGCGTTTGGAAAGGGCGCTGATAACGCCGGGTGGGAGCCAAGACCTCCTCGTCCCCCACCCGCTTCCTCCGGCATTATGCAGAGGCAGGGCGAGGCGCCTGGCCATTTAACCAGGTGGGCGGGGCTACGGCTGACCGCGCCTCCTTTCGAATCTAGGCCACCGCGTGGGCGCGGCTTACCAGCTCCAATGAACTGTAGGAATTCGACGTCGGCCCGCCCATCCGTTTCGATTAATTGGCGCAAGAAAAAAAATGGACAGGTCTTGCCCGCCGGCCCCGCCCACTAGACGGGTCGCCCCGCCGCTCTTCCCAAAGGACGGGCCACCTGACCAATAAAAAGCCTGCCTTCGGGCCGAGAGGGCGGGTCCGCGCTCTCCACAGAACATCAGGCGCTGCCTAAGGGGACGAAGTCCACCTTTTTTATCTCGCTCCCGCTTTGCAGAACGAGCGGCCTTCTGGCTCTCCGGGAAGGTCGCCTGAGTCAGGCGGCGCCCGTTTCTTCCCTCGCCCAGAACAGAAGGCGACCGAGCGGGACCGAAGCCAGCCGAAGAAAAACAGCCTCGCCCTCTTTCTTGCCCCCGCCCGGTGCGTTCCTTGAGCGTGAGCGAGGGGCGGCTCGGCCAATCGCAGCCCCCCGTCTGAGCCAGGAGGCGGTGCGGAGGCGCGGCTGGGCCAATCAGCAGTGCGGCTCTCTCTCCCCCTCAGAGCCGCGCCGCGACAGAGCAGGAAGGCCCCGGCCAGCCCCGGCCCCGGCCTCGGTCTCGGCCCCGGCAGCGCCGAGCGGCAGGTGAGAGCCGCGCCGGTCGGCGTGGGAAGCCAAGGAGGGGCGGCGCTCCCGTCTCTGCCCTTGCGAGGGGGTGGCTGGCTGGGGGGGTGGTGGTCGTGCGGACCCCTCCAGCGGCCCCTCTCAGACCTCCGGCCGCGCTGTGGCGCCCGCCTGGGGGTGTGGCTGCCCGGCCGCACGTGGGGGTGCGGCGCCCGAGAGGCCTCCCTTCCCTTGCGAGAGGACAGACCCCCCCCTCTCGCGGGAACCCGGGGCGCGCCTTCCGCGCTGCACGTGAGAACGCCCGGACGCGTGTCGAGCGGGGCTGGTCACCGGCGGCGGGGCTTTTGAGGTTGGTCCGGTTGGCGGAGCGCAGAACATCGCGGTCTGGGGGGTGGGCTGTTATTGCGGGGCTGTGTCGGGCTTTGGGGGGGGGGCAGCCGCCTGCCTGCCTGGCTTTGTCTGCCGGGGGGGGTGTTCAATGCTCGCTTCTTGGGAAGGTGGGGAGAGGCCGGGACCCGCGTGGCTGGGCAGGCTGGGGTGGGGATCCTGCAGAAAAAGAGGCAACCCGGAGGGGGGGACCTTTATCCTCCGGGAAGAAAGAAGCGGACGTGCCGATAAAGGAAGGGGAGAGGCTGAATTTGACCCGTGTTTTTGTCTCGTCTGGGCTTGCGGGGAGGATGCCCGCGTGGATGGACGCGCGTTGAACCCAGACCCTTCATTCCCTCCCCAAAGCATGCAAGCAAGCAAACAAAAGAACCACCTCGCTGTTGAAAAATACAGAATTCAGACTCGGTCCTCCCGGCTTTTGATTTTCACCTTACCCAAAGGGGTGTAATTTTTCCTCTCCCCGTGTTTTTCTGTCGCTCCTTTTCTTGAAGGGTGGCTGAGACGAGCCTTAAAAAAAGGTGGGATCTCCTGCTTGTTTTGGAGCCCAGCCCCTTTATTTTGAGCCTGGACTCCCGATTTGAGTGGGTCTTATTCTTATTATTCTTATTTATTAAATTTATATAAGAATATAAAATATAAAGAGTGGGTCTGTGAGTGGGCTTCCTGGTCCAGCACATCCTCATCTCTTATGTGTATGTTTATGTTTATTTAGATTTGTATACCGCCCTATCTCCCTTACGGGACTCAGGGCGGTGAACAGGCGATAATAATAAATCCCAATAAATATCTGTTCTAAAATCAAATTAAATAAATAAATCTCTTGCTTTACTCCTTCAGGATCCTGGTTGGGGAGAGAGTCAGGAGGCTGTGGGCGGTTGAGACTTTGCAAAACTCAAGCTGGGGAAAAAAAGATATTGTTGTTTTTTTTAAAAAAATGATTTATTCTCATTGTCGGTCTGTGGGGCTAACAGGCGATAATAAAAATCCCAATAAATATCTATTCTAAAATCAAATCAAATAAATAAATCTCTTGCTTTACTCGTTCAGGATCCTGGTTGGGGAGAGAGTCAGGAGGCTGTGGGCGGTTGAGACTTTGCAAAACTCAAGCTGGGGAAAAAAAGATATTGTTTTTTTTTTTAAATGATTTATTCTCATTGTCGGTCTGTGCGGCTTAAAGCAGTGGGAGAAAAGGTGGGGCAGGAAGAGACGGAGGCGAGTTGAATTATTAACAAGTCTGGAACCAGATTCAGTAGGGAAAGAGGTGGGTTTGGTCACTGGATAACTTTGGAGTCGTAGACTAAGGCCAGCGCGTGGACGTCTGGGCTTGGTCCAAAGGCTTTGTGCTGGAGAACGCTCTGATGCAGGGTGTTAACTTCGTGACGAGTGCCCGGAAATCCATGCAGCATTTTGTGGTTACAGGTGGAATGTAAGTGATGAAATATTATTTTGATTGGATGAGGCTTTACTCTCTGTAGCACAGACTTGACATGTCAGGAGGAGGGAAAACAAACCTTGCATGAAACGGCCGATGCGGTTCTTAGGCTCTGTTTATCCTCTGAATAAGACGAAAGGTTTGTCAGGAATGCAGTGAAGTCGAAGTGAGTTTGGGTTGTTTTAAACTAGTCTCATTGGCCAGAGGAAGTCATGATCAATCGCCCAATACTGGATCAAGCAGGTTTCTTTCATTCCGAGAATCTTCGGCACGTGTTCTCTCCTTCTTTGTCAGGCATGTCTCTTGCTTAATGAAATTGTACGGTGACTAAAGCTAAATGTAGGATGTGGGTGTGCCAGAAAGGATTTGCTTCCAGTAATAATAGCTTGGACCAGTTCCTAATCTAAGTGCCTTGTGAGGAATTGTGTTGACCTTATTGCTTATCTTTCCAGGGGCTGAGGCTGGATTGCTGAGGATGGTGTGTGCTTCCCAGGGGCCGGAGTGGAGACAGGCCATTACCGAGTTATCCCACCTTTGGTGAAGGTGCAGCCATGTCTGTGATGATAGCAAGGAAGAAGGTGACGCGGAAATGGGAGAAGCTGCCAGGAAGGAATACCTTCTGCTGCGATGGGCGCATTATGATGGCCCGTCAGAAAGGCATCTTCTATTTGACACTCTTCCTCATTGTGGGGACGTGTGCCCTCTTCTTTGCTTTTGAGTAAGTTCGTAAAGATTGACCTATTTGCTTGAATGTTTTATTCACAAGACTGGAGTTCATTAACGGCCCACCTTCTTATAGATTATAGTTGATCTAGCATGCTACAGTCCATTTGGCTTCTTGTAGAGATGAATATGCTTTTTCCCCTTGATCGCTTTGGATGAAAGCAATGAAGTTGTCTCTGTTGTTTTTTTTTTCCCCACCAGTACATACTTCAAAGAACATACCAAAGGTCAAATGGTCAAAGCAGCACATGCCAACAATCGATCTCCATTATTTATTTGTTTTTAAAGAAAGATTTGCTAAATGATGTCAGAATTCTGTTTGGAAAGGTACTTCTGCTTAAAACTTGCTTTCATTCTTGTGGTTTCTTATTTGAAAGAGCTGAATCAAATGAAGGAATTTAATACAGTAACGTTTAATCCCTTGTAAAAAGTGAAGAAAATTCTTGAATCCTTTCCTGGTATGGAATACTGTGTCAGATTTCAAAGAGATTTGAATGGTAGAGACTGGATGCATTTGCCTTGTTAGAGAGATGCGAGTTCCATTGTGGACTGGGCAGGATTTGCTATTGACCAGAATGCCTTGTTTCCCAGAATATGGTTCACCTTTGGGAGAATATTCTGATAGGAGTGGCTTACAGTATGAACTAGGAAATGGCATAATAAAAGGATGTTGGTTGTCTTCTGCCAATAATGTTTGTAGCATACTTTGCAGGAACCTTTTTGGAACTACCCCTGCCCCAGGGTCATCCGATCACCTTATGTGATCTTCTGACAAGCAAAGTCAGTGGGGAAAGCAGATTCATTTAATAATCAACTGCCCGTAGGCTTTTGTGTGTTTTTTCTGAAATTTATGCACTTCTGCTTCTCAGGTTCATAACCTGGTCAGCTGGTCAAAGGAAGATTCATTTCTGGAAAAGGATGTGGTTTAATGCATAGTATATAAAAACAAGCATGTGCAGGGGTCATTTTTTTTTGCAGACTGAAGGGGAATTCTAGTTATACTGGTGGACTGCTGTCTTCACTGGCTCATGATTATTTTTTTTTGGAACTAAATCTGATATGAAGGAATGTGGACGCCAGAGGAAATTGGCATGTATGGCACTGTCCCCCATATCTTCATCCTTTGGAGCTACAGTATCTAATGAATACCTTTTCTCATATTTCCTGTTAAAGCTCTGAGCACATCTGAAATCCACAGCTGCAGTTGTGGTTAGTAGGAACAGGTATTTTCAGTCGTGTCTTCTCTCACAGCCTCTGTTTTGGAACAGTTGTTTAGAGTTCTACCAAAAGAATTTATTTAAAAAAAATCTACATGCTTTTTAAAGAAGATTTACTTCTAATATTTTAGACCATCTTGCCATGCCTATTTTCACCTGTTTGCTTTGGACTATTTTTTTTTATATTTGTTCATTTTTAATATTTATATAAATACCGACTTTGCTGCTAGATCTCCTGGCATTCTGAATAAGATAGCTTGTTGAACATGAAGGGGACTTATAGAAGCATAGTATCCTTTATGGTCCTCCGGGTGCTTTGTGTGTATATCCAAGGCCAATCTTTTATATCTTGATTCTGGCATTGTCTACCTCCATCTCCTTCAGTGACACTGCATCACTCTTCCCAGTCTTAGCTGCCTCAATTTGTAATGGGTTCCTTAGGGTTTTATGACTGTTGCACTTCATGAGGATAATAGAGTGATTGATCAGTCTTGTTACACAAATGTTTATATGTTGGCACTCATGCCTTTCAACTCACTTTGATGAGCATTCAAGCATTTGCTGGTGAGAGAGGGGGCAGACTGGTCTGAGTGCCCGCTTCTCATCCATGAAAATTAAATCTCGAGATTCAGCCTTTGGCCATTTAATTTCTTTTGTTAACTTAGAATTTGCTCGGAGTTCTTCCTTGTTTAGCCCTGGATGGGGTGACTGTGTCCAAAAAGATTTGGGGGTCATTTGGGAGACTCCTGCCTTGGATCAAAGCTGGAAATTACAGCCAGGAGGGTTGTATTCAGGAACTCTGATGATGCGTGAGTGGTGACCTTCTTTGGATCAGGAAATTAGTAACTCATGACCTTGTCATGTCATGTTGTGTTTGGATTATTACAATTTACTGTTTATGAAACTGTCCTTGAAGGCAATTTGGAAACTCTAATTGAGTGGTCACTTGTCAACAAGTGGACTCTTTATCAGAAGCCTCTTGGGTGCAACTCAAGGTGTTGCTAATCACTTATAAAAGCCCCATATGGCTCAGGTTGCTGCTATTTTGGGTACCATGTGACCCAAAGTACCCCCTGCCCATCCAGTCCCCAAGGTAGGAAGATTAATGTTATGGGTGAGGAAGGGTCAAGAGGGTGGCAAGTTAATGTTAGGGGGGAGGAAGTGGGGAACCAGGCCTTCTAATTATAGCTCCTTCACTTTGAAATAGCCTCCATACTGAAATGAGGATGACTCCATTCCTGTTTTTATTTTGCAAAGCAGCTTTTTCCATGGACCTTTTGGGGGTAGAAGGAAACAGTCAACTTATGGAAGCATTCTGCAGCTTAAATGCTATGTGATGAGTTGCTATTTATTGATTTTACTATTTGTCTTTCATGATAGTTTGTTTTTATCTTGTGAGTTGTCAAGAGTCCTAGGCGGAGAAGGCATATCTTCATAAAACAAATACTGTTGTATTCATTAAACAGTGTTAATTGGATAACATTGTTACCCAGAGAGATCGTTGAATTCTGCCTTTGAGAAAATTTCAGAAATAGTTCCTCAGCTCTGAATAAACTATGCTGAATTCTTCTCCAAAGAGCTCAGGTTGATGTGTAGTTCTTCCCACTCCTTTTATTCTTGTAAAATCATAGAAGGTGGATTAGGCAAAAAGAGCTGTTCATATCTGAACAACCTTCAGATGCCCAGATTGTGCGTGGCATTGTGGATGGAAGCTGAACCCGAGTCTCTGTACCCCTTTTCTGATATTAGTCCCTGTACCATATTGGTATTTTCCTAGAGTAATATCTTTAGACACTGCTCTCCCACCTTGGGTCCAGAGTGGCAATATCAGAACTATCATAGTATTGTCCAGTAAGTTGTTCTCAGGTTAGAGAATGTGGCAAAACAGTGAATGGGTAGAACCGTTCCATGAATTATATGATTTAATAGCGTTCACTGAAAAAATCTAGGGGAAATATTACCCCAGTCTGCACTTTGGCATGAATCAGCACTAATGCAAAGTGGGAAGTATAGTAACCAGAGGTCTTGTCCAGCACTTTATATGTAGCTGCTTGATTGATGATATCAAATATTAGACATAAAAAGCTATGCCAATATGTGAAAGGTTATGTTTGAAAACTGGGAAGATGTGTCTTAAGCATTAAAAGACAGTAGAGAAAAGATTGCTATATGTGAACTTCTAGAAAGGTTAATTCAGTTATATCAATTTATATGGAAGTGGAAGTTGTAGAACTTCATGTTATTAGTTCAGTGTACATCTTCGATCTCTTCTCCACTCTTCAGGTTTGCAAGAAGAAATTAGACAGATAAAGACCATGATGTTCTAACCACCTGTGATGCTGGGGAAGTGTTTCTAAATGAAGAAAGAGTGCTTTGAATTTTTTAATAGATGTGCTTGTATTTGTTAACATTTCAGTAAGATCCTGCCATTCTCCTCTAAGCAGAAATGAGAAGAGGTTGAGAAAGGACATGGTGAAGGATATCATTGAGGGCTATTGTATAAATTCAGAGCGAAAGTAAACAGCAACTTAATGTTGATTTTCTTATGCGTGGTTAGCCTGTGAGACAAGGTTAATTGGCTGATTGTGTCACTTCCAAACAAAACAGTCATTTTGCCTCTGATGCACATGGAACTTTGAAAGAAAGAACCAGAATGTTCCGCATTTGAACCTTGCTTCCAGAAATGTTGAAAGCTATAGAAGGATTATTTTAAGAAATCACTGTGATTCATTTAAGCTATTACTGTATTTAAGCTGTGGGGGTCTTTTTCCCTCGCAATAGTTTTGACTTTCGGAGTGGGATAGGTGGTTCAGGTATTTATTTTTTTAAAGAAAGCAGATGTTATCAAAACAACTTGATTGTGTTGTGAATAAGTTTATCTAAGTCATGTGAACTTATTTCCATTAATGCTTAAATGCTGTTTGTGTTTCAATATACTTCCTGCCTGCGCTTTTAGATCAACCAGATAAAAATGTTGGCATGGAATACTATTACTGGCGATGTGCCTTTTCTCCCAAGGGGCAGGGCTGCCAATTTGATACAGAAGTGTATGTGTTCCTTGGGGTGCAAACATTTTTATTGTGTCATGTATGTGTTTATGATGGAATACCCAAAGTAGGAGAGGTGGATGGGGGATGATAAATTTGGAATCCCTCTAAATTGGGCTACTGTGCAGCTAAAATATATAAAACTAGACAACCTGTCACCCATTGCCATTGTTTCAGTGAGTATCCATTCGAGATATACGTGATTGTAAACATTTTACCTCTGTTCCTGCATCGTATCACCCAGTTAAAGGTTACGGATATGAGAGTTTTAGTAGTACATACTGTACCGGTAGATAACCCATGAGCGAAAAAATCTTGCTCTTGTTATTCCTCTTATTCTCCGCTCTCAGTATTTAAAGTGCTGGACATTTTAACTCATTAAGTATGTCTGATTGTTTTGATTGAAATATGAGATCAGCACCGTCCTAGATGATCACAATTATCTGTGTGAGCTTTTCCTCCATCATCATCATTATTCTTTTTTTTTTTTAATCATTTGCAAAACGGGCACACGATTGTTCGAAACCATCTCCCTAAAAGAAGAATTCTTTGGGTAAAATAAACATTTAGACGTACTCGTACGTAAGTGTAAAATGTGAGGGTGTTGGCACAAAAGTGAATATACAGAGTGTGCAACTTGTTTTCTTTGATGTAATCATTCCTTCTTGGGAGTAATAGGGGAAGAGAGGGTTGACCAGGAGAAGACAAATGGAGTCAACTACAGTGCATTTTATGTTGTGCTAATTTTCTCCAGTAGGACAGTCTATCGAGCAACTTTCAGCCATCTCATTTTCTCTCCTTGCAACAGAGAAGAGATTCTCAGTTGGCAGCTGCTTTAGAATTGGTTGTTCCCTCTTGTTTAATTTCTTCTACACCAGTGTTTCTCAACCTTGACAACTTTAAGGCATGTGAACTTCAACTCCCAGAATTCCACAGCCAGCATTGCTGGCTGTGGAATTCTGGGAGTTGAAGTCCACATGCCTTAAAGTTGTCAAGGTTGAGAAACACTGTTCTACACGCATCCAGAAGATGGGTGGTGCCTGCTGAGTTTTTCCTCAACCCCTTCTTACCTATTTCTGTGATACCTTGGAGCCGTGGTGGCGCAGTGGTTAGAATGCAGTATTGCAGGCTAACTCTGCCCACTGCTAGGAGTTCGAACCTGACCGGCTCAAGATTGACTCAGCCTTCCATCTTTCTGAGATTGATAAAATGAGGACCCAGATTGTTGGGGGGGCCATACGCTGACTCAGTAAACCGCTTAGAGAGGGCTGTAAAGCACTGTGGAGCGGACTATAAGTCTAAGTGCTATTGCCATTTTTGTTTTTTATAGGCAGGAATACTGTTAAAGTGGGGGGGGGGGTAGAAGAAATTCGATAGCATTCTATATGTCTCTACTCTACTTCCTGTTCTATTTTATTAATGTCCTGGTCAGTCATTGGATGGCTGACATGTAGATAGCTCTGAGAAAGATTTTGGTCTGAAACCTGGCTATTGGTTGACTTAGAGCTATAAGCTAAATGAGACACCTCCCTATAATTCAATAATGAAATAAAACAATTGTGTAAGAAACTCGGCCAGGGGTGGAAGGGCTAGGATTCGAAAGAAGAATGGTACAGTCCACTTGTTCCCATGCAAAAAAATTGTTACGCACCCATACATACCTTCACATTTGCAAGTCTAGCTTTAATAGCTCCCTGTGAGTCCAGGGTGTAATCATTGTGTTACAGCTCAAGTATGGAGGGTCAAACCCAGCCTGTATGTAGACTACCTTGGAACTTACATTAAACACTTTTCACCTGCAAAATACTGCGTAAACAAGGGCCTGTGCCTTTGCTCATTGTTATACTTTCAACATTACTTCGACTCCTTGGGGCTGTTAAACAAGTGCCAACAGAGCGTGTCAATAAATGCCACAGGAGGAGGGAGGCAGTAATCAGTGCAGGTCTTTAGACAAATGTGAGTTGGTTTTAAGCCTGCACTGGAAGCTGGCTGAGATATTTCCAAGAGCTTCCAGCAAATGTGGGATTGACAAGCATTGTTTTTAGAAAGGGATTTTTTTTTTTTTTTTAAAAAAAAGCAAATTGCAGCAAGAAGTCCCTTCTGTGGCCTCTAGTGAAATGATGGAAATCTGCGGTTCTTGGATTCTTGCCTGGAGCCCTTTTTTTGGAACCTTTTAAAGTCTTGAATTCTTTCTCATTCCAGGTGCCAGTATCTCGCTCTCCGCCTCTCCCCAGCTATCCCCGTCTTTGGAGTCATTCTCTTTTTGTTTGCAATGGCCACCCTTTTGCGGACAAGCTTCAGTGACCCAGGAGTTATTCCACGGGCCCTACCTGACGAGGCAGCTTTCATTGAAATGGAAATAGGTACGTGGGTGGCCAATGGCGAAACCAGCCAGCCAAAGGATGTTAGAATCCTTCCCTCTCCCCCTATTTCACCCGGTGAGATGGGCAAAGGTCAGGCAGCGAAAGGTCTGCTTTCATTTCAGAGGCAACCAATGGAACGGTGCCTCCCGGCCAGCGGCCACCTCCGCGCATTAAGAACTTCCAGATCAATAACCAGATCGTGAAGCTGAAGTACTGCTATACCTGCAAGATCTTCCGTCCGCCCCGGGCCTCACATTGCAGTATTTGCGACAACTGTGTGGGTGAGTGACAGAACTGCAGTCCAATCCCTTCAGGGCTCTAGGGCTGGGAAAAAGGCACCTAAGTACGCTCTCCCAATGGTCCGTGAGCTGGCTGCTATATGCTGCTCTGCAGAATTCAGACATTCTAAGGAAGTAAGCACTCCTTTTTGCTACTGATTGAAGGGAAAACAAAATTGAAGGCCTGGCCACTCCACTCACCGGATGCAGGATTTCTACAGGCGCCAGTTTGCAAACCTGTCTTTAACTGTAAATTCTAGACTTTCAGTGAAATGAAAGCAGGAGTCCTTGGTTTGTAATTTTGATGCCACGCAAGCTACCACACGGTCTGCGTCTGCTGTGGTTTGGAACTTCCCTACAATACAGGATGAGAATACCTGCAAGCAGAGCATCAGAGCTTGTGTTGTGTTATTGTCTTCGGGTTCAGATAAAGTAGACCTTGTCCCAAACGGCTTATTTAGGCTTTTGTTCCCTCTGCCTTGCCCGCATTGGCCAATGGTAGGTTCTCCAGTACAGGAGATGGAGAATCCACCGGTGGGTTTTCCATCTCCGTACTGAGAAAAGGCGTTCAGGTAAGACAACGCCCCTTTACTTCACTTATGCACATAAAAATTCGGACAGCCCGTTTCTTGTAGGTTGCTATGTTTCACGCTATCATGGAGGAATGCTTCTTAAACCGATGTGGGTTTGGAAGGCAGAAGTTGCCCGCTTGACAATACTCCCACCTCAACAATTGAGTGCATGAATCAGTTTCATAGTTAGCCAGAAGGATTCCAGCGTGGGTTTGGGATGTGAGTGAAACTCTACCCATGCTGGCATCTGGCTGAAGTTTCTGTGATGGCACCAAAGCATCAAGCTTCTCTGTTTGTTTGTTTTTTTACAGAGCGTTTTGATCATCATTGTCCCTGGGTAGGGAACTGTGTAGGAAAGAGGAACTACCGTTATTTCTACCTCTTCATCCTTTCGTTGTCCCTCCTCACCATCTACATCTTCTCCTTCAACATTGTCTACGTCGCCCTGAGTGAGTAGGGCTTTTGTAGTAAAGAGAGGGAATTGGGCTAAAAGCTTGGAGAGGCATCTCGGAAAGGACGGAAGAAAGAAAGGGTGGAGGCTGGGGAAAAAAAGCCCTCCCTCTTGGTGTGATTAATAATTGCAGATGAAATACATTGTATTTTCATTCCATACAGAATCCCGGGAGATCAGCTTTTTGAGTACGCTGAAAGAAACGCCAGGGACATATCTTTTCTGCTTTTAACTTGCCAGGAGAGGAACCATTGTGCCCTGCTCTCCAGTGAGGGTGGTGGTGGTGGTGGGGAATGGGGTAGGATAGCATTGGGAGAAGTTAATGATTCCGTAAGGAATTTGTATTCCTTAACTGAGCTTTCCACG